CCTGCTGAAGTACTGCAACGTTTAACTCTATTATTGAATGTCCAGGAGATTGAAATGATGCCCTACTGATTTCTGAATGTTTCCATTTTTAATGCCTGACTTGTGTCTTTATTCTCTCATATACAGACTGTCCAGTTTGACCTAGGCTAAAGAAAGAATGGCATCGCTGGCAAGTGAAAATATCTGTCATTACAATAGGTCTCCCCAACATTTTCAAATCCGCGGGTGCCTTTGGAATTCTGACACAGGGTAGTGACAGAAAGCACAAAACAGCTGCTGCATAAGGCAGAGGCAACTAACTACAAAATGGCTGTTGCAGGAGGTGGAGCGAACCACAAAATGTCAGGGAGTGAGGTTGTTGTGTATGTAATTGAATGGAATGGAATGAATGTACTGAGCTTGAAATCTGAAAGGTATTGTAAACCGACCTGTCACAACAAAAGGAAGTTCTGGAGGAAAGAAAAATGATTGGTCTTTATGTACAGTGTTAGCAGATGAGCTGAATATTTGCTTTTATGTATTTATGTTTGCTGACACACACTCACTGCCATGGACTGTGACTATGAATCCCTATGGGTTTGGAAAAGCTGTGTGCTCTGAATGCTGTGACTGCTTCACCTGAAAGCTGCCCTGCCTGCACTTTATGCTAATGAGGTTTGCACTCACACAGCCCCAACCTGAGGAAGAAGAAAGCATCACCATTGTGGGTCAGCACAAACAACAACTTTTATGGTTTCAACCACCATGCATGAACTGTAAGGAGACACGTAACCCTTGGTATCTGGTTTGCATCTAAAATGACAGTTTCCTGCCAAATGGTCATTTTATGGCTTGGGACCAAGCTACATTCATCTACACATCAATGGTTGCCTTGGTATCATCTTCACCTAGATGGAGTGGGTGATATTGAAATCTAAACCTTTAACTCAGGGGATGCATCTAGTCAAGGTGTGAAACCTTGACTAGATGCATCCCCTGAGTTAAAGGTTTAGATTTCAATATCGCCCACTCCTTCTAGGTAGACACGTCATTGCCTAATACCCAATAGTGTTAAGTCCTGGGACGGACTATAGGTAGGAGGGATAAGGAGGATGGCATCAATGCCAGCCCCCAAGAGCCCCCCTATATAAAGTGAGGTTCAACAGTTTGAACCCCGCTAGCCATCTTCTCTCTTAAGCTATTTACTTACAGCCCTGCTGTACAAGTAACTCTTTGTTCATACTGACCTTGTGGACTGCAGCCACAGAGGTCCACACGTGTTGGCAGGTTCCAACCGTGTGCATATAGATTTCCTATAGTTATTCTAGTCTTATTCCTGTATTTTTCATTGAGAAGGTCAAGCTTCGGATCAGATAAGTATTTGCTACTCCCCTTTCCCATCCTTTAGTATAAAAGTGACTATTTCCTACTCCTGTAACCCTGACAAACTTGTATGATTGTGCGTGTGATTCCGTTTTTGTATGTATGTGAACCAAATATTATTACTTAGTAAAGAGAACAACTTAATTTCAAGGTACTAGTCTCATCTCCGTTAACACCACTGGGAAATTCCTTGGGTCGGTTTTGGACTTCTGTATACACAGGCAAAGGACCCCAAACATTTAGTCTAGCCTCTGCTGTAGATAAAGCAGTTTGGCTAACAACAGTATGTGATTGGGCCTTAGCTGACATGTGGGTGTGGCTTTCCAAGCCCGGACACTTTAAAAAGGAGCCTGTTCCTCCATTGATTTGTCTCATTCTGGTTCTTCTGACTTCGTGTTCAATAAAGCTGTTAATCACTGTTCACCTGCTGCCTGAGTCGCGTATCTAACAACTGGCAACAAGGATGGGATATAGAGCAGGTAGGCAGCCCCGCTGAACTGACAACCAAGACGGTGGACGACCGAGAAGCCCCTGTGGAGCCCAGGGCGGAAGAACGAGACCCGGCTGATCAAGCAGCTGCAGCACTTGTGCCAGTGCTGGCACAGAGAGCAGTGATGGCCGTCAACCCAAGGTTTGAGGCATTTGAACCCCACCTCGAGGACTGGGATTCCTACCTGACCAGGTTCGAGTTCCACCTCCAGGCTAACCAGATCGAGGGTGAGGACCAGCAGAAGGCGACGCTCCTCCGCCCCTGCGGAAGGGCTGTCTTCGACGTCGCTCGGTCCCTGGTCGCCCCGGCTGACATCAAAACCGTGTCCCTAGCAGACCTCAAACTGAAACTGCAGGGGCAGTTTGCACCACAACCCTCACAGATCGCTAGCAGACACATGTTTTACAAGCGGTCCCAGGCCGCGACCAAGATGGTTGTCAAGTATGTATCGGCATCGCGGAAGGCTGCACGCCCGTGCAACTTCATCAACCTAGAGGGGTCCCCACAGTCAATTACAGACATGCATTCGCAGATTGCAAATGAATATGCATTAAGGGTGGTGCTAATGCTGGACTATTGTG